GCTGGACAGGCTTTGTGTCCATTCCAATATCTCCATTCCTGGCATCTTTGACTCTTGTGCTCTTCTTCCACAGCACCCTTCGTTTCTGTCGCGAGTATGGTCTTAGCCCATCGATCAAGTCGGGCGGCTACTCGACTGCCGGCTGGGCAACATCTGGCGATGTGCTCATTGACTTCCAGCAGATGGACGATGTCAAACTGCTGAAGCCCCACGGACTGGGTGGCTCTCTTACATCCTCAGACCTGGAATCAGCCGTCAAGTCGCCTGAGCCCCTTGAATTGCCTTCTGCAGTTGATACGCCTTCTGCTAGCGAATCTCCCTCCAAAGTTCGCAAGGCAGGAGATGCTTTCAGCGAAATCGCAGGCGGAGACGCATCGCGTCAACGAATTCTTGGCAATGGACACGAAAATGACCAACCTATTGTATCATCATCTCGAAGAAGCGAGAGTGGAGACGGCACGCCAGAAAGCGCAGAATGGGTTGACAAAGATGGTGGCGCAGACTTGCCAAGAACCGGCAGCAATGAGAGTGCGTCTACGACCAGCATGTCGCGTACCGACTCAACCTCGGTGGACTCTGGCAGTGCCGACGACCATGAACTAAAGACTGGATCGGATGACGCCCCTGCAAGGCAAACGTTCCCGCAGCTTGCATCGTCGAGTGCAACTGCCTCAGGCCAACGCATAGGCCGGGAACTGTCATTGGACCCGATGCAGGCTCGGAATATCGGATCTGGACCCACCTCTACCTTCGAGCACGAGCGGTGGCACAGGCATCATCGGCCGCCTACCGCGTCTGGGCTCTCAGCTGGCCGGATACACACCACACTACCCCAAGGAGCATTCGTTTGGCGTCAGGGCGAGGACGCCACCGCTCTCAATGCTTCAGGTCAACCCTTGCCTCGTAATCACCCCACGTCACAAGACGCTGGTCCTCGCAGTGCCCCAGGCCATGAGGCCTCTACGGGCGCCACCCCTGCGTTGAGGTCACTGGACATTGACAGGTCAACCCAGCGCAACGACTTCAGCACATGTGCTCTGCGCCCTGGTATACACACCGACAAGTACCTCTTGGCTTCATTTGGACCCGGAGCTTCGATTCCACATCTCGATGCATACACCGACAAAGCGGGTCGAGTTGGCCTGATAAGCGATCAGCATACCAGCTCGGAAGCCGCGGCAAGCAGGCTTTATCAAAAAGCGCCGCTACCCATGCCCGACACTCAATTTGCCAATTTCACAGCAGCACCGTACTTCGTTCCGTCATCCGCATACCCAGTTGGGGCAGGTAAGTCGAACCTCTTGCACGTCGGTGCATGCACCTCCAGACTGAATCATCGCTTGCCCTCGCCGCTTGTAGCTTCAATGGTCACTGGCGGCTTCGGTTTCATCACGCGAGCCTACGGTCTGTCGGTCGACAACGTGGTGGAACTGGAAATGGTTCTCGCCGACGGCTCGGTGCACGTTCTTAATGATGAGAATGCAGGGAAATCAAAAGATGCAGCAGGTGAGGTTCAAGTGCTTCGCATATACGAGCTTTGCGAGCAGCACCCCTGACGAGACATTTGCCCATGCAGACCTGTGGTGGGCTGCCCGAGGCGCTGCGACGTGTCTGGGCGTCGTGACGCACATCACTATGAGGGCATACCCAGTTCCGCACGTCTACGGCGGCAGCATACTCTTCCCCTTTTCGCCCTCGACCGCAGACGATCTCGTCAAGCATTGGCGCGACGTGCTCAAGGGCGACATTCCGAGGGAGCTCTACGCCAACCTGATTCTCACCGAAGGGCCCGGTGGCTCTCACGTAATTGTGATTCAGATTTGCGATCTTCGGGGCCGCACCGCCGATAGCGAGGCATTGGTGCAGGCCCTCAGCTCCTGGTCTGGGGAGAGGATACTCCTGAAGGACATTGAGGAGAGGCCATTTCAAGCGCAGAATCAATTCATGGCGCAGGTATTGCGCGACACAGGGCCTGGCAAAAGGTGGCTAGTCCGGGGCGACTGTCTCGACACTCTTACCGATGAATGCATCGAAGCGACGATTGCAAACTTTTCACGCTCGACAAAGGGCTCACGCGTCCTCATCTTCGAGTTGGCAAGAGGCGCGCTCGCAGACGCGGATCCTGAGTCGGGATGTATCAGTCGGACGCAGCGCGAGGCGCGCTACGCTTTAGGTTCCATCTGGAGCGGGGATGTCGACGACGAGCAGCACCTGAAAGAGGTTGACTCCTGGGTTAGCGGCACGTCCAAGCACTCGCCAATCCCTTGTTTCTTGGAGAGAGGAGAGGGACTAGATCGTGTGCGAGATAGCTTCGGGCACGCTAACTTTGAAAGGTTACTCGAAATCAAAAGGCGGGTGGACCCGGAGAATGTCTTCTGTCACAATTTCCTGGGCACGCTCAGTAAAGAAGCATGCCGATGATGCCATATTCAACGAGCCTTGGGATGCATAGGATCCTGCTGGTGCCTCTCTCCTCACACCGCAACGAAATGTGACCGTCGACGCGCACGCCGCAGCGTTTGGTGCCGCTGTCTAGCGAAGCTCCTCTCAAGTACACCCGCCTCAT